CTCGTCTGCGCCTCTGCTTCTCGGCGTGGGGCCGTGCAGTGAAGTTTGTGTGAGAAGCTTTAGGTGGGGTGCTGGAACAGAGTCTGGCTGCCCTCCTCAGACTCGGACCAGGACCTGTCCTCCACATCCTCGGGAACTTTACACGCTGGAATGCCCACGCATGCCAGCCACAGCCGTGTAACGTCACTACTCTGTCCCTGCCAGCCTGAGGAGAGACGTTTGTATGGAAGCTTTACACAAAATTAAATCCGCGACAAAACGATGTTCCGGTATGGTTTGGTGCTGTTTGTTGACGGGATATTATATCTTCACGGACAACAGGAAACGCACCTGGTCCGTCGGAAAATATCTTCCCCACAGCGTTTCAAGTTAAAGCTAAGAGGAACCGGAACATCCTTCCCGAGTTTAAAAATAAAATAAATTGTGGAAACAGAGTTTTCTATCCAGCTAACTATCTAAACCATTTTAATTCCACACATAATATAATGATATAGCCCAGCGACTACTGTCATGTGATTATTTTTGTGGGTGTTGATGGTTCCCATAGCTGACAGTTGTAACGAGGAGCCGTACGTTTCCGTTCCGACCCTGGCTAACGTGTTTTGTGCTTTGACTGTAGCCACCGCTGTCCCACACCTCGTAACTGTGGGTTGACATTTTTTCATTCAGTGCGATTTTGGAGTTAAAGAGCGGAAGGTTAGTCGGTTAGCTGTCGACTAACGCGGTGTCGCTCATTGTTGACGCTCTGCTTCGTTTCTTTTAAGCTAGTTAACGGTAGCGTTAGCAAAGCAGCTGCAGGGATGGCGGAGGTTCCAGGAACATCCAGTGAGACCATAACGGAGACCGTTCAGACAAGCACGCCGCCGCCGCCCCAGCAGGTAAACGATGGACAGCTGTTCGTGAGACAGGTGGACTGGCAGCCAGTGACAGTGTCCATTAAAGACACAGCGTTCATGTTATTACGGGGGAAGCTTCGTGAGGCCTGATACGTTAGTTACGTTAGGCTTATTTAAATGACAGGGCTGCTAGTAGCGCGGTAGCATTATGGAAAGCCGATAGCGGGCTAAGTGCTGAATAGCTCAGCGTTGCTGTGTGAAAGTTAAACAGCTTTCAATTAACAACCCGAATCTGTAGTATTGTTGCACAATGTCTAAAGTAGCAGGAGCATCCGGTTTACATGTTAAATACACTCTGTTCAAATTTCAAGTTGTACTGTTCAGATAAACAGTCAGACCTCCGTTAACTGACA